TTTTTTTTTTTTTAAGAGGGCTGCGCCGCGCTCTGCTGCAGTGCAACACAGAGGCAACACTGGAGAGGTCGGGTACGCAATCTTACCCATATGACCCCTAAGGGGGGGGGAAAAAAAAAGTACATAAATGGATCTGGGGATTTGTCGAGGGTGGAAGACAATCCAGTGGCTAACCGGGGGCTACTACCAGGACAACGGTGGTTGGACCCGGGGTGGGTCGCGCTGCCCTGGAGCCTATACCTTCTTCTGCCGAATACAACGTACGGTCATTATAGCTGTGTTTAAGGCATCTTTCAGTCTAGATACAACTATAATGACCGTACGTTGTATTCGGGAGAAGAGGGTAGCATGTAGGGGGCGTGAGGCCGGGTAAAGGCCTGGTATAAAGAACAGGACAGCTAAGTCTGGTTTTGGTTTTAGAGTTTAGCGTCACTTGGAATTATGGACTCGGTAGAAGATTCGGTGGAAGGTTAGTAGTTTTCTCCATGAATTATCATCGAGCTTTCTCTGAAATGTTTCGCAGCCGAAGCCGGGTAGTAGCCCGGTGGTACCTCAAAATCTTCAAAATTCAAATGCTTATTGTAATCGCATAAGGGACGCTGGGTCCGGTTCACAGCATGTGTTGCTTCCCGCGAATAGATTGGAGAATTGAAAAAAAGAAAAAGAAAAAGAAACGTTTTGAAAATTGAAATGCAAAAGCTTGCCCGGTCAGAATGCACCCGTACTCATAGATGCACCTGGGCATGCAGATGCCTTGGTTGCATTCTGACCAGACCAGTTTTTTCCTGCATATTTTGTCTAGCAGAACTGCCTGGTGAACAGTAGACAGAGAGGGTGAATGATCTGCACCGGAGCATGCAGACGCCTTGGTGCATTCTGGCCAGACTAGTTTCGCCCTTCAAAAAAAAAAAATATATATATATATACATATATATATCGTCATATATACATATATATATATATATACATATATATATATACATATATATATGGATGTATAATATATGTATATGGAATAATGGATATATATGTACATATATATTGTCATAAAGAACTGCCTGGTGAAAAATAGGCAGAGAGGGAGAAGAGGGCAACAACAAACGAGGGGCAGCCGTCGTTTGTTGTCCTCTTCTCCCTCGCTGCCTGCGGTTCACCAGGCAGTTCCCTATGACGATGCATATATATATATATATATCGTCACAAATAGAACTGCCCGGTAAACCGTAGGCAGAGAGAGAGAAGAGGACAACAAACGAGGGGCTGTGACAAAC